AATATTTTGCTGTGTGGTGTCTGGTTGGGGTGATAGTGTACACATAACTCGCGCGCTTTTGACCCAAATTTTGTTCAGCGATGAGTCCCATTTCTGGCTCAATGGGTATGTAAAAAAGCAAAATTGCCGCATTTGGGACGAAGAGCAGCCTTAAGAGATTCAAGAGTTGCCATTTCATCCAGAAAAAAAACAACGGTTTATTGTGGTTTGTGGGCCGGTGGAATCATCGGTCCATATTTCTTCAAAAATGATGCCGGTGAGAACGTAAGCGTCAATAGCGACCGTTATTGCGCCATGATAACTGACCATTTGATGTATGAAATTGAAGCTCGTGATCTCGGCGACATTTGGTTTCAACGCCGCCACTTCCTACATATCGCATTAATCAATGGATTTATTGAGCGAACAGTTCGGTGAGAAGATAATTTCACATTTTGGGCCGGTCGATTGGCCACCAAGATCGTGTGATATCACACCGTTAGACTTTTTTCTGTGAAGATATATAAAGTCTAAATATGCGGACAATCCCGCTTCGATTCATCATCACGTGTGTCATTCGCCAGTTACCAATCGAAATGTTCGAACGTGTCATCGAAAATTGCACTCAACGGATGGTCCGTCTGAGACGTAGACATTTGAAAGAGTTAATCTTCAAAAAATAAATGCCAAAGAATGTTCTTTCGTATGATAATATACCTTTCCCATTTGAATTTTCTGTATTTTTTTAAAAAAAGAAGGGTACCTTGAAATGTATCACCCTATATTTTGCAAGCAAATTATACTTGTAGATTATCTAAATACTTTCCTCTAGCATGAACGGAAACATTATTATCGCGTCGTCTATACAACGGATAAACATTAACTGATTCTTTCGCTGATTTTACAAAATCCTTTGGAAATTCTTTTGAACATTTTCGATCTAGTTTGGATTCAAAGCACCGCATGGACCGTGGATCATGTGTTAGACAACACTTTTATGTAAGTTTGGTTGTAAATTTTTAGCCGGTATCTCTGCACAAACAGTTTTATCAATATCAGCCGGCCCGACAATTTTGCCATTTTCACATAAAGTTATCAAAATTTGCGCATGAGGCAAACCTCTTTTTTTGAAAATCGATTGTATATATTTATAAGAACCTCAACTTTGCCAAAAACATCTTTATTCCAAATGTCATTGTAACAAAAAGCGATGGCTTGCCGAAGTGCTGAACAATTGACATAGCATCTAAGTATATTTGGAACATGTTTCTCGGAGACCCAGTGAAGGATGAAGGCAAAATCACTTTACGACCTAAGCTAACATCACCTACTTGATTCGTTTGAAAATAATCAGTAACCTTGTTATACACATCTGCCTTCAAATTCACTTAATTCTGTCTTATAAAATGTAGTCGACATCCTTAATTCTTAAAAAAATCATTTTGTGTTAATAGCAAAGGAACTGAATTATTATCAACAATATCATCAACTTCAATTAAATTAAAATTTTTAGTCTTAATTACATTTGGTGTTCTACTCAATTGCATATTTTCTCTACTTCTTTGTCTCTGTACTCTCCCTATAAGCGATTTAAGGTAAGGCATGATGAAATAAATGTATATGTATGTGCGCATCGTGTACACTATACTTCCAAAAAAAAATTTTATTAATTGAATAAATGACGGATTAACAATAAATTTCGCCTACAGAACATAGTCAAAACACACGAAGAAATTATCTCTCGAATCGAAGTGCTGTTGGCGCTGATTCAACCTACTAATTAACCTTGAAAAAAAATTGTTAACAAACAATGCACTTTCCAAAAAATTAACTATCACACAATACGCGTGAAGTTAATCGCAAAATTTCTTACTCACCAAAATAAAACGAATGATATCAAAGGTTATTTCCACTTCAATGTGTTTTTTCCCAAACAATATTTTAAATTTAATGTGCGTTAAAAATGTAATTGTAACAGAATCCAGTGTTGCAACGCGCAAGGTCCAAATACAATTAAAATTTGATAAAAATTGCAACCACAAATCCGCCGTAAACGATACATCATATGTATGTATATATTTGCAACTTATGTAGATCCGCGACGAAATGTACTTATGTGTACGACTCTGTTAAGTGCGACGCGAAGGAGAAATAACATCGACCAATGAAAAGACGTCACCGCGCTTGTAGTTGTTGTAGTCGCTAAATAACGTTGTGCACTGCACGTGTTCTCCTTTCCAACGGTAAAAATTTTATCCATATACGTACATATGTCAATAAGGGAACACAAACTTTTTTGTTAGCGTAATTATATAATATAATATATAATATAAGTAGATTGGATCAGAGGTATAATGAAGTAGTTTTGCATTTTAAAAACTTATTCTAGTCTTCAAAATTATTTCAATTTAATTGACTAATGATATTTGAAAGAACGACATATTCAAAGTTTTCCGTTATGAAATTTGTAAATTCGTGGCGGGCGAGCAGTTTTTGTAAAAATCAAACATGAAAATCGATTTCTACGCATTTTTTTTATAAGATCAAGTGCGTTTCAGATGTGGTAGAGCTTCGAATTTTGCAAAAATCGCTTTTAAAAACTCGAAACGAGGATCGTGGGTTGTTGTTAGCAAAGGTATGAATAAAATTCGTGTGAGAGATGTGAAATTTGAATAATAAGATATTAATGACACTATAAAAAAACCTTGAATTGTCTATTGCGATGCAGAGCGTACTCAAAATTCAAGATTTTGCTCAAATAATTTTAAAGTAAATGATTCATCCTATAAAAATTGGGTAAGTTTCACACACATACATTATTGTTAAATCTATCTTAAAGTGCATGGATATATAGGAAATAATCACTTAAACAAAAAACGCAAAAATAAAACACAGTAATATTATATAACTAATATCATATTTTAAAATTTTTCGACAAACAATCATATTTGCAAAAGATTAATTTTTTCACATTTTTTTAAGTACATATTTTTTAATAATAAGTATCCTATGTCCTTTCTAATACCATTAACAATATGTGTACCAAGTTTCATGACGATCGGTTTTCTCAAAAACAAAAAAATCTGAACACAATGTTGACTTAAGTTTCCGTATTCCTATCCCAATATATTTGCATATTGCATTTTGTCCCTATGATACGGTGCGTAGTTTTTAATATTCAATGAGGGTACTGATTTTAATAGTAATGAACATTATTTTTAAATTACATATATTAGGGATTTTTATCACTACCCAATGCATAATATACTTACAGCTGTTGTGAACTAATTACAAACAATTGGCTCCTGAGATAAAGGAAGAATGTGGTGGGCATCGTTCAAGAATAGCTTGGTGTGTCCCATAAGCCAGGGTGGGAAAAGTAAGGAAGTGAACGAGAGTTGGGGGTGGCTAAAGCGCCTCCGCTGCGTCCTCGGGCTAGTGTTTTGCTCCCTGCCGAACCCTCTACCTCCGGTGAAATCAAAAAGATGCTGCGTTACTGCAACCCTTATCAGGCTGAAGAGGACCGAGGAGCTTTCTTGTCTTTCGGCCTTCGGTTGTGATGGTTGCTTTTGTAGAAAACGTTGAAGAGACTCATGGAATTGTACATTAGGGACAGAGTACCGAAAGCTAAGTTGTTAAGGGGCCAACATGCATACAGTAAGGCAGGTCGGTCGACACCGATGTAGTGTCCTGGCTAAAGGGAGACTTTATTCAAATTAAATTTTACAATGACAATCTGCCTTGCCTCTTTCGCGCCTACTTTTATACTGATACAAAATATAGCCTGTATGCGTTGCCTTCAATATCTGATATTTCCACAATGCAAATAAAATAGTAATATTTTTGTTGTGGAAAGTTGTTCTTGATAATCGAATGTGTAATTCGTGTATGGTTGTTGGTTGCATCTGTTTTAAATGGGGAACAAAATTGATCAGCCTAATGTGATAGGTACATTTCTCGACATCGAGTGGCCTTTAATAGTGTGTGGCTGGAGAAGGGGATTAAAACCCAAATAAACTGAAATTATTTTATTTACCAGGGGGTACAAAATTCCAGACATTCCTCTCCCCTCACTTGGAGGCTCACGTCTTCATACTGTAGACAAGGTGAAGTACCTCGGGCTTATGTTTGACACAAAGCTTTAATAGAGGCAAACATTGAACAGAAAGAAAGGAAGGCATTCGTTGCTTTATATTGCTGTTGAGTATTTGTATATTGTTTTATTGGATATTCGTTTTAAGAAGCTTAAACGTGTTCAAAGAGAAACTCTCTTTGACATTTATGATGCCCTACAGAAAACACCAATAATGGCATTGAATGCCATCGTACTCATAGCACATATCGATATACATAGCCACGGGGTGCTTTGCTACGAAAGGCGCTGTAACACTTTGGGAAAGTAGGTGCATGAAAGAGTCCAAAATGGGACATTCTGAAATTCTTTTCTTCTTCGTATCCCTGATGGCTTAGATCACTTCACGCAGAGTCATGTCCTAATAGTTTTTCTCTGCTCACAATCTGACGAGGAATATGTAGATGGGTTGAAGTCACTAAAGAAGAGGTGCAGTGAGCTCTTTCACGGTTGAGTCAAAGCTTAGAGATGAGGATAGAGTTTCCTATAAGAAGCTCTTTCTCAAGGCTGCCTAATCGAAATAGCGTATTTTAAGCAGATCGGGCTGCCATTAAAATAGCAGTAGATGTATTGCTCCGATCTGCAGCCTTTAGGATGTAAGTGAGCATTCACGCGGACATCTGAGCGCCAATACTAGCCTTAAGTGTGCTCACTCAGACCGCAGGAGATCCATTTAGCTACTGGTTCTCAGTAAGGTTCATCTTGCCGCAATCGTAGGAGCTCTTACGGGACATTGTCGTGTATGCGGTAAGACATTTTGTCGGAGACTAGCTGTCAAAGTTGTATGGAGGAAGGTGAGGTGGCGTTTCTGAGATCTACTTTTGGTCGAAATTAGAATGTACGTACCTGTACAGGTGGCTACTTATTTCCAATTCTTTGACTTTGAAATTTACACTTTTATTTGTTTAATCTTTTTATGATTTCCGTTGCAAGTTTTACAATATTTCTGTTTGCTCTATAATATCCAAAGAAGTAAGCATAACAGCTTAAGTAAGCATACATTTATATATATAACTACAAATTAAGACTACTGAACTTCATAAATATAATATTTATTTATTTAGGAACTTTATAATACCGCGTATTTTAAAACTATTTCAGTGGGTCATTCTTATATTCTTTTTTAGTTGCATTGATCAATATAGATCAACATGAAGTCATAAGAGCTTTCGACCATATTAATGGTTTCCCATGAGTTCATAACTCGAATATCAAATAATTTCAATAAAATATGCAAATCACAATAAAATAAAAATAAATAAGCAAATTTATATTGAGTGATATTTGGTATGCTGCGTAGTGAGCGTGTGGTAAAAGCAGCGCTGTTGCCGACGGTCACACTGACAAAGGACAAAATTAGACGCGTACGTTACGCTAAAGCTCCAAGCTAATAGAGCAAAGTCAAAGTTCAACGCACACAAAATTATATACAAAGATAATTTAAACACGCAGCCAAGCTCATAACTTTAACATTAAAGAGTGTGGACGTAAGGAAAGCAGTGGTACCGTGCAGCACAGAAGTCAGCGGCTTAGAAAGCAAGTTATGGCGGTGGCAGCGAAGCGGAAGCAATCCCGGTCTTATTCTTTATTCGAGTGCGTTGAGGAAGGGTGCAATAGAGCCGATGTCCTCGCAATCTGGAATGGCTTTGCCCTTGAATTTCAGGCAGGACTCGGCGCAGGTCTGACCTTGAAAGTAGTCACCAAACATTTTCTTACATTGTGCGCAGTTGTTGAGGCAGATCTGAATGAAATCGATGCCGGACATGGCGTCTGCGAAGAAAGAGTGTAAAATTATAGTAAACAATATAAATTAGTATTTAGGTTTGTAAACTACCAAAGCGTTTGCCGTAGTGTCCAATTGATGGCATGCCCTCAACGGTCGTCGAAAGCACAGAAATCAGAACAACAGCGATGGCAGCAACGACAACGGTCGATTTGGTGATGGAGAACATTTTTGTTTTTAGAAAGCTGGTGGAAAAGAAATAATTATTTTTTTAAATTTTATGTATGTGAATATGATTAATTATCTTTACATGATATATATTTATTTATATTGGACTAATTCCGCTTACAATTGATTGTCTACTACCACACTTATGTATAAATAATATTGTATCAACGGTTGGTGGATGCTTAAGTGTCTGTTACACCTGCACAGTTTTTAATCAAATAATTTTAAATTCTGCTTGACGTTTGCTTTTAATCTCTTAAACGCACAAATTCGATCTCTCGATTGACGTGCAGATTTAACGAGTTAACAGCAGCTTTCCGCGCGTTCGCGCAAATTTGGCATGAGACAAACGAAGCAAAACAAAACAAAAGTATAAGAAATTGGCACAAGCAACAGACAACAAAGCGAAAAAGCACCGAATCACAATAACCTGAAGTGATTTTACTTGTGCAGGTGAAGGGGCGACCTTAGTTTTACTTTCCATGAACACGCGTGTTTAAAGATCTATCCGAGCCATGTAAACGATCAACCATGTGGATCAGAAAATAATTCAGCATATATTTATACTGTTTCCATTTTACCAGCCGTACGAAACCATTTAGATATCAAACAAGATATTTAAATAAAAAACGTATGGGTCTCACCATTGAAAATCATTGTGACTGTTCAATTGAATATACACTTACTTAGTGCGATCATGATTTGCACCCAATCTCAACTAAATAATTACGAAAATGCATTGCTCTTAAATCCGCTTCTGGGCTTGTTTGGCTGATAAGAAATTGGGTTTTTTTTAAATTTAGAGGAAAGAAAGGCATTCACTAAAACAAGGAAGTGCATGTTATTTGTATGGAATATTTTCTAAAGACTGAAACGGATAATTTTCTGCCGGTAGAACGGAATTTCCATACAAAAAAGCGAGAAAAGAGTCTAGAAAAAATAAACTAAACGTCAATAGCTTCTTGCCATAAGCACACTTTATCAATGTTTTGTAGTGAGGTACTTCTACGAGTACGTTTATCCGATTGTGCTTGTCGCTGAAGAAATGTGTGTAGAGGCCGAGAGCGTGTTCAGCGCAGCCACAGTCGCAGTAGTAGCAACAAATGAAACCGGCAATATAGCAGGAAGTGTAAAATGCCGGCAACAAATTCATATGCATTCACCGCACATATATACGCACCTTTTGACGTGCGCTTTGTACTCTTACGTACTTTGTGCATACATTTGCACACACATGCGATACGGGCAGCTTGTAGGAGTAGATAATAACTACCATAAGGTAGTTACCCGAGGTTCTATAAGCCAGTATAAGTTAAAGGCTTTGCGTTGCTTACCCGCCGACTGTAGCTTTGCGCATGACTCCGGGTGTGCGCAAGGCGCTAAAGGCAATTCAAGAGGCGCGTCACCGCATGTTAAGCAATAATTAAAACACTTTAAATCGGATATGTGCGCAGCTTCTTACACAAGTTTTTTGCTGGAGCTTTTGTTTACCACGAGCATACGCAAAATATTTTGGCATATGAATCATGAAAATTTATGTATGGACGAGTACATATATTTCTATATATGAATTTACTTACATACATGAGTGTGCATAACACAATTGTTAATTTAAAGATACATCATAACGTATGCGCTAGGATTGCTTCGGTATTTACGAACGAAAGATTTTAAAAATAACTTATAATTATGCCCATTTCATTAGCACATTTATTTTTTAGAATCAAATAGATACTGTATTTTTCGAAAGCGAGTGCATTATGCATTTGGCTACTACTTAGCGAGCAGTGATTTTATCGCTCAAGAGATGAAGAGGGACAATTGTAGAAAGCTTTATAACAATAGCTTCTGTGCAAGCAATCTAAATAAAACTGTTAATATTTAATTTGTGCTTAAACCTCTGCTAGCTCGTTAGTCGTGGTGTGCGTCTTGATATCACATGACAAATGTATGGTTCTGAAGTTTTAAGCCATATTCGAACGGTTGATACTATTTATCAGAAGCTACTATTTGACAGCTTTTTTGATATTATTCAAAAAGTGACATCTAAACGTGGTCCTGCGGAGTATGAGTATGTTGGCACCATGGATAAACTTCTAGTCAACGGCGATGCCTTTTGAAGTTGCCAATGAGTTGAATATGAGTTCAAAGCTTCTTAGAAGCCGATTAACTAAAGCATTAAAAATCAAATATTTTATTTTAGAAAGCCACTTTTTTCTTTGGAACTATTTTATATGATATATTATACATATAGCTACGATATAAGTTTACATATTAACAAGATGGTTTCCTAAAACATGGCTACACAGTGCATTGAACCTTTCGAAAACCGTTAATATTTAACAGATTCCTTAAATGTTATCTGAGAGAGCCATAGGCTACTTTACATACCTGCGCCAAGTGGCGAAATCTCGTTATGTATTTTAAGCTCGTAGTCGTTTGATTTGATGTCACTGGTTATTTGGATATTCATTCACTCTTTTAAATACTTGCACTTCGACATATTAATAACCATGAAACACAAATAAACACGTTTATTTGTATATAAAAATAGCGGTGACTGCATCTTTGTCGTCAGCCCTATAACGACCGCCTCTTTCTCTTCTACTGGCTAAATTCAAATACGAATTCAAATTCACAAGCAGTTGGCTGCCAGCCTTTACTTACTTGATTTGAAACTGGATCAAAAGTAATCACAAATATTTGGTGCAGTTCGGAGCAAATGCCAACAAGTGCTTGATAAGATCTCACGTTGACGACTGTTGTCATTGAAACATAGTAATATGGTATTTATACAAAATCTCGACAATTGGAAAAATAGCTAAATTATAATTTTATTGCATTACTCGACTTAGTCTGCTAATTGTAAGGAGATTTGCAACGGTTAATTACCTTTATTTCCGTTGAGAAGACCGACAGCAATTGCTTGTAGCTTTTTAAGTGAAATTCTCGGCAGGACAAACAAGGGTACATTTCAGTAATTAGTTGATAAACATTAGTGTATGTACAGGATATGCTGACAACGCTGTTAAGTAAAAATGGGTGCATTACACTTTTAGATTTAAAACTTTTTTGTTAATTCTCATACCATCTCATATCATCTGTGCACATCACAAAGTTTGGCAAAATATATGGGAAAGGAGTATTTTTCTCACTCTAAGTGCAAAGTTGTTAACATTTTCACTACGTTAATTAAAACCAACATTATGTAGTACCTGACCAGTAAAGTTTTAGTTTAAGGTATACTACTTGTAAAACCCTGTTTGTGTCAGGTTCGGCTCTATCCCGTTAAAACCCTGGCAGGCTTCAGAAAACCTACTCCTACTCGATACATATAAAAGAATTTAAAATCAATTCAACTAAGACCTCAAGGGAATCGATCTTTTCGAAAGAAGTTCTTAATTGTATGATTTCCACCAGGAACACCATTGCAGAAGTTTAAGTCAAATTCGTGAAGTATTTCCGACATTGCTTTAAATAGACAAGGCAATAAGAGCTTCATAGAAATGCTTCTCGTATAAAACTAAGAGAAATTATGGAAAACATCTATGTTAAGCGATACCTACATGTATGAAGAAGTACACAAAGAAAATCGCAATTTTCCTGTTGATGTGGTCACCAACACTATTACGGAAACATCATTCTGGTCCAATCCCAAAGCAGATTTATTCTCGAGAGAACAATTGGCGAAATTAGAATAAATGTATTAAGATGTTGAGAGTGCGTTATCTAGCAGTCTGATTAAAATGCAATGGCACAGAGGAGTGCGGAAGTTTTCAAAAACGTAGTAATGTATTTAATAACGCAAGAAAAACAATAATCGTTACTACATTTTGTGTGACGAAGTTTAATAAAGAATAGACATTCTAGATTATAATCTTTTAAAGAAAATACAGCAGCTTTTAACGCCACTTTAAAATTGTATGAATTTTGAACCGCCGTACATATATAATATTACACGCAGCATTACATATATCACCGGGGTCAATGTATTCACTAATAGAGAGAAAGAAATAAGGCAGATTTTACTAATTTTCGTCGCCAAGAGTGCTCAAAATTTTATTCGAAATGGTGATTCGGCAATTGATCAATGGCAGTACGCACAGTTCCTATTAACGACGCTGCGCGAACCATAGATTTTATGAGACTCTGCAAACTTCTGTGGGGTTTTCGACACGCCATGCTCCCCAATTCTGACCACAAACTGTAGTCCAATGATTTCAGATATGGACTTCCAAACGGCCAATTATCTGTAGCTAATAAGAAAACAGAAATAATGCTTTTAATTGTGGTTTTTGCCTTGTTTGCTGTTGTAATAACATATTTTGCATAGTTATTGTGTATATTTTGTCGTTTTGCTTATTAAAAACTTCTACAACTGTGAACAAAATTGAATTCAATCTGTTAGGGGTATGAGGATTAGGCCAAGGTTTAGCACAACTCTATTCATATTCAAAACTAAACTATTAATGTAGTTTTATAATTTTAAGGAAGGTCTGGGCTTGTAGTACTAACTTTTCATATTGTTCGAGTATTATCGAGAATATATTTTGAAGCAATTTCATAATCAAATAACTCACACACTAACCAACATATTCGGTATAAGGTTTGGCTATTTAACGATGTACCTAGGCCTATAGGTGGCACCAATGTTCCCTCACTCTGTTGTCTCTTCACTTAGAATATGTTTTATAATCTCCTCTTCGTCTACCTCCTGACAGCTTCTACAAAAGCCATGGTGTGGTGCACTTAGTCTGCTGGCATGTCTGCCAATTAGACAGTGACCTGATAGCATTTCTATTAGAGTTCTTATGTCATTTCTTTTGAATTTTAATAGTTGGCATATGCGGCCCATATTCCATCCATGCTTCGTTTGCTTGCCAGTGGCCAGAGGCATAAAAATTCTCTCTTTTTCGGAGTCTAATTGTAGGGTGGTGCCAGTTCTGGCATTCATAAATTTATAAAACTGTTTTTTATAGTTGGTTATCTTACCACAATAGTTGGTGCCAAAACCAGTTAAACTCAACTATCCTCTCTTAAACAAAAAGCTTCGCTCACTTTTGCACTTTCACCGGTAGATGTCACGTAAGCGGAACTTCCGGCCACTGCGCTTTATTTTAAAATAGTTATATCGATGTAAACTGTTTCACAAGATATTAATTTTTACAATATTTTTAATCAGTTACATGCACAAACGATTAATCTGAGGATGTTACTAACATAATTAACATGCTTACATGATATCAATAATATTAGGTAAAGTAAAAAGTTCGTTCGGTTTTTTATTGATTTTTCAAAAGATGATTACTTTGTGTACATTTGTCCGATTTAGGTCACATATGGGCCGTTTTGTTCGTAAACTTGTTGCCAACGAGATGCCAACTTCATTATACCCCTCTCGTAGAAGACTGCGTCCCAATTGCCAAAAAACTCGGAGAGCCAATTTTCACAGGCCTCTCTTGAGGCCAACTTCTCACCATTAAGCGCGTTCGCCATGGACAGGAAAAGATGGTAATCACTTGGTGCCAGGTCCGGACTATAAGGTGGGTGCATAAGAACCTCCCATCCGAGCTCCAGGAGCTTCTGGCGAGCCACCAAAGACGTGTGTGGCCTGGCGTTGTGTTGATGGAACACAATTCGGCCTCTGTTGATCAAAGATGGCCTCTTCTGGATGAGTGCTGCCTTCAAGCGGTCCAGTTGTTGGCAGTAGAGGGCCGAATTGAGCGTTTGGCCATAGGGGAGCAGCTCGCAGTAGATGATTCCTTGCCCATCCCACCAAACACACAGCAAAACCTTCCTGGCCGTCAATCAGGTCTTGGCCAATATCTGGGCCACTTCCCCAAGCTTTGACCACGACCGTTTGCGCTCGATGTTGTCATAAGTGACCCATTTTTCATCGCCAGTCAC